TCAAAACTGATCTATCGTATGTTCTTGAAACCAATTAAATTGCTGCAGTAGATTGTTGCTCATGCGTCATCCACTTGTGCACAGCTTCTAAGAATTTTTAACGTCTTTGCGCCTTTCCTTCACATAGCATTTGTTCCCAATGTTATTATTACATGTAGTCAGCTTCGCCAATTGATTATGACTTTAATCATCATACATTTTAAAATAGATCACATATAAAATTAAAACAAATTGTTCTTTCTGGGAGATAATTTATTTTTATTTCTAGTAAATGGGGGTGTTCTCAATTGTTACATAATGGTTTTTGGGGGAGTTCAAGAGCGTTTTGTTTTCGGGTGCGTTACTGTGGGGGGAGGGGGTATTCAAAATACTTCAAATTTGCGTTACGTAATTTATGAACGGCCTCAAATGTTGCGCCACACATTTGGCATTCCTGGGCAATGAGCTCAACGAGCTACTGCTCGCCCAATCCCATCCAGCTTAGGTGCTCGGCGAATGCTTGCTTCCTTTGATGTGTGTCGCTCTGCTGTTCAAAGGCCGCGCCTCACATGCGGCATTCGCCGAGTAGCGGCACAGTGAGCTACTTCTCGCCCAAGCCCGAGCCTTTGAGATGATCGGCGAATGATCGTTTCCTTTCATGTATTCAAAAGACAGACATGCGGTCATGTGATCTAGTGATTTTTTTTCCCGTTAGATTGCATTTTTCTAAATTGTTGAATTGAACAGCATTTGGATATGAACTTCGCCTTTAAGGGAAATTATATAAGACTACTTTCCTCACATTGTGACAATATAGGTGTTTCTGTTCTTCATCCCATCCCAGCTTTCAACATTCAAGAATTTCGAGCAAAATTACTTTTATTTTATTAGTCGAGTCATGCGTATTTCTTGAGAAGTTTTAAGGAAATGTTAAACAAAACAGGAAACCGAGACTGATAGATTGTATCAATTGGAGGGAACAATTTTATATTTCTAATGTTATATCTGGAAAATGACAGTCGTTCTTAAAAAAGAACGGAAATATTTAATTTAAGTATCACCTACTTCCTTAAAGCGAGAGTTTTTTTAAATTTGCCTCTCTCAGGAGCGAAATAAAAACTGGAAGTTAATATTGTTAATATTAGGGATATTATTAGTTATTATTTCACAGAACTGGAGAATATTAGAGTCCAGAGAATGTATTAAAAGTCGTTTTTCTTTTCAAATTATTGAGAAATTTTGGACGGAAATGATTTTGTGCAGGTTCTTTCTGTTACATTTTTCAATTTGAGTGTGCTTGTATTAGAAACAAGTTAGACAAAACTGTGTTTTGAAAGGGTGTTATGTCGTATTAAGGAAATGGAATTTGTTTTTGTACGTTTATATTTTAGTTAGTTGGTGTTGGATTTTTAATAATAGTAGTATGATTGTATGTTTTGTAAAATTTAATAAAATATTTTGAATACGTGTGTTGTTATCTACCTGTCAATAAGACGCAAATTTCAAAATACCTTTAATTACGAGAAACTGAAATTAAATTGATAATAATTACGGGCATATAATCGATAAATTTATCTTAATTATTTCTGTTGTTAAAAAACGCCAAACAAAATTAAATACAATGGCATTCTTGTCAAATCAAGATTAAATTCCGTGGTGGTAGCAGATATCTTGTGGTAATCTATGGTATAGTAAAGGAATTCCCTTACAATAAAATCAAGATTATTATAAAGTTAATTAATATCATTTTTATTATTTAAATAAATATATTGCAACCAAGAGATAAAATTTAAAATACATACAACATATTCAACATTCAATTTCTAAAATAAATTTTACATTAGTTACTTGTATTACTGAAAATTTCGAGAATATTATCACAAAATGGCAAAGAAAATTCAACGTACGTTTCAGATGAAATTATGTTCTACGTAATTCTTCTACAAAGGTTTCAAGAAATCTTGAAAGCAAGGAATGAAGTAAATGTAGATACAACCGATTCTTTTGTGTGTTACACGAAAATACTCGGCTTAAGTGGGCGTTTCTAGCCCTCCAGCTAAAATCAAGGACCAAGCCAGGTCTATTTCGTGCAACATCAATCACCGTTAATTGTATGCTCTGTCCGCATTTACTTTTACGATCTGGGCATATCTTTCTTACGCCATCAACTGGAGTGCAGCATCTCTCCAGTTTTCAAACCTAATAGTGGAACACGATAATGTGTCGTTTTCCAATCGCGTTAAAATAAACATGAAAACTAGTAGTTCGCAATCTTTCGTCTCTACGTCCTAAGTGTTTGTTTATCTCTACAATTTTTAAAGCTAAAAATGAATAAAATTTCGAAAACCAAGCCGCGGCTCAAGGGCATCGTCACCAGCCACCGATGACAATTTGGTGAGGGTAATCACGATCCGGTATGTGCATCGTCGGAATGACATGTACTTCAAATTTTAGAGTCCAAATTCGTCACATTTTATTCCAGAATTTTCTTCTGAAGGCACGGGGTGCGATAGTAGATTTGATTTAAAATCCACAACTGAAGCTTCTTGGTCCAAAATTCAATTTCTGGCAGGTCTTTTCGACACCAGATAAAAGGCTAGGTGGGAGGCGACCACTTTCGGTTGAACATCAGGGTGAAGTCGTAGGCTTTCCGCGACCAGAGTCATGTGCGTCACCTGGACAGCCCAGATCACGCACATCATAAAGGCTGGCTGTACTAAGAGGTCGTTTCTGCAGTTTCTTCCGGTCAATTCCTGCCGGCTTTATGAACAATACCTTAAACAAAGGGCCGCAAACGATCCTTTATTTCTATTACATTCTCGCATACTACATATGTATTTATCCATTACAATTGGATGTCTCGTAAAGGGCAATTTGGTTCAGCACCGTTAGATCCCGGGGTTCCTAGTCGGTCGCGCAATCTGGATGTCTCGAATTCGCTTAACTTTCGTGACTTCATGTTGTTAACGAATTAGACTAGCAACGTCGGTTTTGTTGTCGTGGCCATTCAGTAGAACTATCCCAGCATTCACCTGGATAAGCGTTGAAACCATGAAAACCCTGGTCTGGCATGCCGGTACGGGGATTGAACTCGGGCCTCCCGAATATGAAGTCAACGCGCTAAGCCACACGCCCTGAGCCACTTCGCTCGGTACAACATATGTAGTAACACACACTTATATAATGCTGCTACGACTAATGGCGATTTTCCGTCAGAAAAATTCGTAATGCAGGTCCCCGATACCTAAAAGATGGATAGATCTTGTTTCTTTAGATAGAAAACGGCTTCTCTAGCACGTTGTACAGTCAGAATCCTCAGGAAGAATCCAACAAGGATTTCCACCAAAATACATATAAGTCAATCGACTTTTGTGATATCGCAGTTCCTTGAATAAGAATTTTTTTTTTTAAATTTGGGGGGTACTTGACATGAAACATCAAATTTTTCTCAAAATACTACTCAATTTTTTTTAAACGGATGAAGAAAATTACGTATAAAAATGGCAGATATTCGATTTTCATTGAATTCTCTGAATACTTACTTTACGGAATTTTTTGTACATTTCTGCATTTGTGAACACAAGTGTTTAAAATGATTTCTGATAAATATTCTAGAAAATTCCAAACGTTTCTGTGAAAATGAGCTCAAATTGCGTATTTTCAGAAACACTCAAACGACATTTTCTTACAAAACGACTCCAAATTTCTCAATAAAAGTTTGTATATATTACCGTGTATTACTCATTCACAATATTATTGAACTCATATTTCACTTCAACTGTTAGGACACCGACAAATTCAGAAAATCTGAAAAATATCTTTAAGGCGCCGATAAGTCGCAGCTGTGAAGAGGATGGAGAAATACCGAGAAGGTAGCCTAGACTCAGGAGATTGGAAAACTAACCTGTGAAAGAAAGGCCATTTCGTAGCACCAACCGTCTTTTTCTTGTCTGGCCCTTGGGCCTAGCGATAAGCAAATGTTCCATTAGGTCCGTATAGCCCATCCCTCATAATCTGGAAAGCCATCGTCAAATATCGGAGATACAGAATTCAACGATAGCTGTGAGATTTCCGAAACAGTTTGGAGAAACGTTTTGAGCTGTTAAACCCAATAATTTACGAATACGATATTTTTTGAAATGTTATTATAATCGTTTCTGAATGATGTACCGCATTTTTTATTTAGCTTAATATTGATTAGAATTTGATAATAAAGTAAATTATATGCTTTTAATGTAATAATTATTAAAATTATTTTTAAACATTTGTCTACTCTTTTTTCGAAAGAACGACAAATTTTTGTATGGTAGAATTTCAACGCCTTTGAAAATCTATCAAAACAATGGGATTTCATTAGTCTTAGTTTAGGGTACAATTATGATCACACTGGGTGGCTAGAATTGTCTAAGTGTTTCCCCTACACTCAGTCAAAGATATTTTCAAGGAAGAAAACTTATTCATTTCATGTAAATGCGTTCAGAAGGGAACTTAAGCTTTAACTCTCGCATCAAAGTTAATACTTCCAGTAAAACATGTTATGTTTTCAATGTTTGCCGAAAAAGGTAAGTATTAATATGATTTGCTGCAAACACTTCTTTGTTGTACAACTTTCTACCCGTACGCATAACAAAGCAGAGGAAACTTACACCTTAGTGCCACATCTTATTTAGAAATGTATCGACAAATTTACAGATAACGAATTGCTGGATTTTCTCTTATGAAATGAATAAGAATAGTAAATTAAATCATTTTGGAATAGATAGTGACTGCCTTTGCTAACCAAGTCTCATTCACAAGTTGAAAACATCCGTCATTTAAACGTACAACTTATTATCAGAATCACCTTATTCCAACAGGGAAATTGGCACTGCAGCAGTACGCGTTATAAGGTAGTGACAAAGGACAATGAGGAGGGATGAAATTCTGTCATGATCAGGATGATACAAATCTGCAAATGCTCACTTACAAAGCTTCTGAATTATATAAGTGAAAAATGATTTGATGATTTTAGGAGATTAGATCTAATGAGTTGTTGATCTCCCCATTCATAAAGACAAGTATTTTTAATTATATTGGGTTTTATTAAATGTCATATTCAACAAGACAGCGATAACAACAAAATTCACGATAACAAAGAGCACCATTCTTCGCACCAATTTCTCAATTTCGAAGAATGCGTCATCGTTCTCTAATATCCTTAGAAGATATTAGATCTAAGGGGAAAAGCTAAGAAAATTCTATCCTGTCCGAATAGAAGTCGCTTAGACCTTTCAGAAACCAAACAACGCACTCATAAAAACTCTTGAACTTTCGCAAATGGCGCTCTCAACAAGATGGCGCTAACAACAATCAACAACGGGCCGCTCGTCGCGGTGGGCGGGGGCGGGCGGGCGCTGCGGCCCGGCTCAGCAGTTGGAGCCGCTGCTCTGAATGACGGGCAGCTTCTGCACGGCGCCGCAGCCGACGGTGCCGGCGACGTAGTCGGGGAAGTTGGACTCGAGCACGCGCATGCGGCCTCGCTTGTAGTCGGCGAGCGCGTGCGTCGCCAGGAAGCAGTTCTGGCCGCGGTACACCGGCGCGAAGTTCTCCGCCTTGAAGCACACGTTGGTGTCCCAGCGGTAGACCTCGTTCTGGCCCTCGTAGCGGAAGAAGATGGCGGCGCCGTTGTCCGTGCCCAGGATGACCAACTTGGCGGGTTTCGGGCCGATGTCCTGCGAAAGGTACACGTCCACCAAGGTGTTAACAGGTGGTCTTTGTGCTCGGATGATTCATTGCGTATGGAAATATATTATGAGATATCTAAAATTTTATGAGGTTGGGGAACGTTTTCAAAAGAAACGGCAACAAAATGGAACAACATTTTGAAAAAGGACTGTGTTAAGAAGATTAAATGGGAGAATAACTGCCGGGCGTGAATTACGATACATAAGAGTTGGGTCGGAAAGTGAAAAGGGAAGAATGGAAGTAAAAAGAGGTTGAACTAAAGAAAATAAGACCGATAATTATCTTCCTCGTAAAAATGATATAAAAGAAGGAAAAGAGGATACAATATTAAAAATTCGACAAGAAATGCCCGTATCTTATAAAAAAATATTGGATGAAACGAAGCAATCGTGGGGAAAATATAAACTCCCCTCAAATAAGTACCTCTTGAATACGCTAAAACACTCAATAAATAAGAAAGTAGAGGGAAGGAGGTCAGACTTAACATAGATTATTCAATGCAAGTTAGGTTGATCTCTTGCACATAAAATAGAGTCAATTTGACTATGTATAAATTCCATAAATATTTAACATTGCAAGTGCCATTATTCTCTTTGTATACAAATTACGTTGTAGAAATCACGAGGTTATGTAAGAAATTCGGATAATTTCGTCGTCGTTTTCCTAAACACGAAGACTTTCTCTGGTCGTTTACCAGAGCGCAAAGAACGTCCTCGTCAGGTTTAGATCATTGGAGCGTAGCAGCTTGGAAGAAAAAGACCAGTCTTTCAAAAAAGCGAAACAGAACATCATGTCGAAGAACAACATAATTTACCTTGTATTGCATTTTGATGGATGCAAACGGAATATTAAAATTCGCTTTTGGCAATAGTTATATCAATCAATATATTCAAATGCAGTAAAAGAGTTGAGTTCCAACTTGACTATTCAAATAAAGTATTATTTGACTAGAATATTGGCAGAGTAAACAAAGCTAGAAAACAGAAACTATGCTTTGAATGAATATTTTTAATTAATTCCCGAAAATTCTTCTCAAGGAGGTCTCAGAAATGTACTTGCCACTGTTAGATTCATTTTGTAAGGCAAGAGGTGTGACAATGACCTAATGTCATCGGCCACTTAAAAAAATGAACCGTAGAAAACAAAACTATGCTTACCACTGATTCATTTACTCGTAAAAGGCAGACAATAAAGTAATGTCATCGGCCACTTAAAAAAAAGAAGTGTAGGAAACAGAACTACGAATAATTCATTATCACTGATTAATTTTAAAAGGCAGGAGGTGTAACAATGATCTAAAGCCATCGGCCACTTAAAAGAAGTCGAAGCGTAGCAAACACAACAATGCTTACCACTGATACATTTTAAAAGGCAGACAATGACATAATGCCATTGTCTGCCTTTTAAAATCACCTAATGCCACTTAAAAAAAGGAAGTGTAGAAAACAGAACTATAACTGCTTCATTACCACTGATTAATTTTAAAAGGCAGGTGTAACAATGACCTCATGTCATCGGCCACTTAAAAAGAAAATCGAAGCGTAGAAAACAAAACTATGCATACCACTGATTCATTTTATAAGGCCGGAGGTATAACAATTGACCTAAAACGATCGGCATAGTAAAAAAAAAAAAAAAAAAAAAAAAAAAAAAAAAAAAAAAACAAAAAATCAAAAATCCAAGCGTAGAAAAAGAGAGAGAGGCTCACCTGAGGACCGTCCGGGCGGCAGGACCCGCGGGGCAGGTACTCGGTCTTAATGGCGAACAGGCGGCTGCTCGACAGGTAGGTGAAGTAGAGGGTGGTGGCGCCGCAGCTCTGCCGCACCAGCGCCAGGTAGAGCACGTCGCGGCGCGCGCAGCCGGCCGTCACGGCCTTGGGCAGCACCACGCGGTAGCCGCGCCCGGACGACACCTCGAACACCAAGATGGCGCGCGTCGCGGCGTCGCTCACGTACACGTAGCAGCGGCCGTCGGGGGAGTACTCGGCCACCACGTACTGCAGGCGCGACGCGGCGCACGTCAGCGCCGACAGGTCGATCACCTTCACCACCTTGCCCGTGCGCACGTTGATGGCCACCACCTGCGACAGAGGATACGTTGGAGTGGCGCGCTGCAGGACTCGTTCAAGTTCGAATGGTTCGAAGAATGTTTGATTTTTATGGTCGCTTCAACATCTAGGTCATGCAGGAAACATACACGTTCGAATGGTTTGTAGAAACGTAGGAACATTTTTTTTTTTTTGTTATTTAAGGTCTCATCAACACCTAGGTCATGCAGGAAACATACACGTTTGAATGTTTTGAAGAATGTTTGATATTTAGGGTGGCATCAATATAAACGTCATGGAGGAAACATTCAAGTTCGAATGGTTTGAAGAATTGTGGGAATTTCCTGGATCATGGAGGTCATGGAGGTCATGGAGGAAATATTCTGTTATTTAAGGTTGCATCAACATCTAGGTCATTAGCGACCATTCTTGCCTTTAACGGTATGGTAATTTTAACGGCGCGGTTATAGTGGCGCGGTGTGGGAAACATACAAGATCGAATTGTTTGAAGAAGGGAAGGAACGATCTTTTTTCTATTATTTAAGGTAGCATTAACATATAGGTCACTAGCGACCATTGTTGCATTTAACGGTATAGTAATTTCAACGGTCCGGTTATAGCGGCGCGGCGCGGGAAACATACAAGTTCGAATTGTTTGAAGAAACGTGGGAACGATTTTTTTAATTTAAGGTCCCGTGAACATGGAAGTCTTGCAGGAAACAGACAAGATCAAATAGTGTGAAGAAACGTAGGAACGATTTTTTTTGTTATTTAAAGTCGCATCAACATCTAGGTAATGCAGGAAAAATATTAAGTGAAATATTCAGCAGATATGGAATATGATCTGTTCTAAAATTATTTCCAAAATGTATTACAATTATAAAATTACTTATGAAATATCCGAGTCACGTTGATACGAGTAGATGTGGCAAAGAAGTGCCATTTGCAAGAATGACTACTGTTTGAAGGTAAAGCGCACTTTTATAAGAATATCTATTCAGGAGAATACTGTATTTCTAAATATTCGACAGAAAGTTTCGAATGTACTTGAAATATATTTGAAAAACTAACTTGAAAAATTCGTTTGAGAATCAAGTTTGCAATGATGGATAAAGCATTTTTAAATTTGCTCCAGACTCTTTTTGTAGATATGATTATTAGGATGGATGGAAACTCACATTTAAGCTATTACAAAGTTAATTAATACGTAATTAAATAATGTTGAATAGGCGTACCTTGGGCGGGCATCGGCGGACGGGGTTCTCGAGAGTGTTGACAATGCCGACATCCAGCACCCAGAGGATGTCGTTGGCGTCGAGGAAGATGTCGACAACGGACTGCAGCGCGCGGCAGTTTCCTTCCTCTTGTTGGCTCCAGCACGGGAACGGGAGCAAAGTGGCCTGGATAGCACACCGGAAGATTCTCCGTTAGACAAGCACATACAGTAGAAGAAACGTAATACCCAATAAGAGAAAAGTGTGCGACAGGCATGAATCAAATAGAGAAAAATTGAAACGGAAAACGAAGAGTGATGTAGAAACAGAGAGAGAGAGAGAGAGAGAGAGAGAGAGAGAGAGAGAGAGAGAGAGAAAGAGAGAGAAAGAGAGAGAAAGAGAGAGAGAGAGAGAAAGAGAGAGAGAGAAAGAGAGAGAGAGAAAGAAAGAGAATGAAAGAAAGAGAATGAAAGAGAGAAAGAGAGGGAAAGAAAGAGAGAAAGAGAGGGAAAGAAAGAGAGAAAGAGAGGGAAAGAAAGAGAGGGAAAGAAAGAGTTAAGAGGGGGAAAGACAGAGAGAGAGAGAAAGAAAGAAAGAGAGAGAAAGAAAGAAAGAGAGAGGGAAAGACAGAGAGAGAGAAAGAAAGAAAGAAAGAGAAAGAAATAGAAAGAAAGGAAGAGAAAGAAAGAGAGAGAGAAAGAAAGAAAGAGAGAAAAAAGAAAGAAAGAGAGAGAGAAAAAAAAGAAAGAAAGAAAGAGAGAAAGAAAGAAAGAGAGAGAGAAAGAAAGAAAGAAAGAAAGAAAGAAAGAAAGAAGAAAAGAAGGGTAGTAGAGAAAATTCTTTGAAGGACATGAATGAAATATAGAAAAATTGATACAAATACAGAGGAAAAAAAGAGAAAAACTAGGAAAGAAAGAAAGAAAGAGAAAAACTAGGAAAGAAAGAAAGAGAGCAAAGCTGGGAAGGAAACAGAAAGAAAGAACCGACAGCAGGGCAAGAAAATGAGAGCGCGGACAGCAGTTCGCACCTGGCAGCCGCGCGACTTGAGCGAGACGCGCGCCAGCGTGGCCGGGATGCCCGGGCGGAAGCGCGGCATGGCGACGAACGCCTCGTCGCGGTAGATCTGCGCGCGCGTCGCGATGATGTTCTTGGCCACGTAGCGGCCCGACGACTTGAAGATGGCCTTGGTGGACGGGCACGGCCATTGGAACTCGCCGCCGGTCCACATGATGGTGCGCGTCGATTGGTCGCACGACGCGGCGCTCGGCGACACCGCCCAGCAGCACGCCGCCACGGCGCCCAGCAGCAGCGTTCGCATCATCCTGGACGCGCAACACACCGTCTTATTCTATCTCTGCCCTGGGGAAGCCTGCGACACGTCAGGCGAAACGACGCGGCGTCTCCCGGGTAGCCGAGAATTTATGGATTCGAGCCGCGGAAGCTTACGTGTAGATCTTATTCTATGACTATCTTATTCTAAACAAGCGTCAGCACAGGGGAGCCGTTTCCAGTAGCATTTGGAAAGAAAAATATTGAAAATAGAAAAAAATATGGCGAAGGGAACCTTTTTAATTATTTACGCTTACATTTTTGTTTTTATCGTTTCTTGTATTGGACGTTGCAAAGACAAACTGACATCTGAAAAATAATTGCCATTTGCAAGAGAACTGTTTAAATCTCAGCGGAGCCATTATTTCTTGACCAAAGGCAAGTGTTTTATTCTATGTCTCACAAGAGTTGTGATCTCTCGTTATCTTGTGATAAACCTGGCTGGTAATCTCTCTCACAGGGACGTTCAATTTGTTAGACTGGGTATACACGCACTCAAGTACAAAATCTCCTGTTTCTCATGAGACCAATCAGTATTCTTTTACATTATGAGAGTTCAAGAGCTATGTGGCAATCGCGCATTGTATTGTTACGGTGTCAATTATATAGGTTTTCTGAATTTCTGCCTTATGAGATTTTCTATTGCGTATGGAATTCAATGTTTATCCAATTACATTGGTATTGAACTATGCAGCCTTCAAGCTTTCATGTTACTTATGACGCTAACATGATTGATGGGTAATTTTTATGTAGTTTTAGCTTATGTAGAGTAACTTTTACGAGTGTACTGGATCTCTGATGTTTGGGAAATTAAACTAATTGTTGTGTTCCTACCCTCATTTAACAGTCGATCTAGGGCTCTCCGTTACTGCAAGGTCTTGAATTTCTTTTAATGTATATAACATATCTTTCTGGAGGGTGTTTGACAAGAAAAACAAGGAATCAAATTAATATCGGGAACGAATGTCGGAAATATTTACCAACAAAATTAAAGTTAGGAATAATAAATACGTCTATTAGTATAATGGTTAAAATAATGGTCTTTCTTTGATGACACATTCTATTGATTTTCTGTATGTGAAATATTAGCTATGAATGGAAATGTAGAAAGTTGATTTGACGTGAAAATTAAAAATGTATTGATACATTTAGCGACATTGACGCGTAATGTAACCATACATCCGTGGTCACAAATTGCAATTTGAGGAAATGTCAATATTCGTTTTTCTTTAAAAGAACAATGAAACAATGGGATGGGTGAATGTATTTCATGTCGATGATCGAGTCATTTGTGGTATTAAGCCTTAAACAGTATGTACGGCAATAAACAAAATAATTATCAGGATACTCGTAACACGAAGTTTATTTTCGCAAACAATATTTTGTATTGATTATGTTTACTCGACTAAGGTTTAGAATTAATTACTCATAGAAATTAGTATTGAAACAGAAATCTGTCACTCTGTTTGTCATTTGATGAGATTATTAAAAAAATACGTTAATTATAAATGTATACATTCATTCAATGTTGATACTTGAAAACTAATCGAACTTAGCTTAAAGTAGAAATTAAAATTTTTACATATTCTTATTTTGTAAAATTCTACAATTACGTCAAAACATTTGCAATAAATAATTCGTTGAAAGCAGTATTCATTTACTAGATTGCCTTTCTTAAGTGGATGATGTTTTTCTAATTAAAAAAAAATACAAATTTTCTTTTAAACAGAATTAAACGATGTGATGTCTCTGTACATACGCTATGTCCGAACCCTCAAAAATATGCTTTTGTAAAAAGAAATTAAATATAATAATTCGCATCCTGAAACCGATAAAAATCTTCTAAATTGGAGGAATTTATGACGAATTATATATTTTAATATTGCTGTCTTCAAAATAATGTAATCATTTTGGAAATAGAGGAACTTATCAAATATAACGTTAACAATCGGGCACGATGGTAAATTGTATATTATAGTTTCAATTAATTCTCATTCTATTGATACTCAACTTAAATACATGGATATGCATGTATTATTAGCTACAAATAATGTATCGTAACTCATTGAGATACGAAGTACAGGACCGTCACTATTTTCATCATCGAAGTGAAAATAAAATTAAATATAATTGAAAACGTTTCGATATCATTTCGCGACGCTCTGACACCTTCTGAACTGACGTCTATACTTGCGTTGTACGAGATTTCAAGTAGGACTTCTGCGTGGAGTGTGAGGAGTGGTATACTCACGTGTCGTCGGGCGAGTGGGCGAGCGAGGAGCTGGTGGTTGAATGCACAGCGGCCGTGCGGCTGCGTCTGCCCCTGTCCGCCCGCCGCGCCCTTTTATACGCGTCGCTGGCGCACGCGGGCCTCGCGGAACGCAAAACACGCGCGTGCTGAGGCTAGCGCTGCCGCGGCCCGCCCCCCGCCCCCCCCCGCGCTCACGCCCCCGCTCGCGGCGCTACGCGGAGCATCGTTGCCGTCGAGCGGAGGAAGAACCCTGGACCGCTTCTTCCGACTCTGGATCGCTGCCGCGCGAATCGAATCTTAAGGCCCATTCACAATGCAAACGTAAATATAAGCATAACGCATAGACGTAAACATTAATGTAACTGGTAGACTACAGTATTCACATTGTCTAAAAAAATAAGAGTTTCTATTGGAAGTGAGACATTCTAGTTTATTATTGGTTGGATGTGAGAATCGATTTCGAGATATCGACTGTGTTCATGGCCCATATGGCGTTAGTTCGTCTATCGATTTCCCTTCTCTTTCGATACTCGATTTTGAGTTAACGTAATGGGATTTGTTCATTTCGTATGACTTAAGCATAAGCACAGAAGCGTGAATCTCGCAAGCTTTTGGGTTATCGTCTTACGTTTTATGCTTGTGCGAACGCATTGTGAATGAGTCCGATTGTGGACGTAGTCCTAACTTTTATGTTAACGCCATGCTTATGTTCAAGTTTGCATTGTGAATGGGCCTTTATTGTACTAGGGAAACGAGTTGAAGTACTTCGCTTTAGTTTCATGTTCGGTTATCGGGTAGCTTGCGTGTTCATCCGTCCTTTCGTATGTTCGTTCGTTCGTTCGTTCGTTCGTTCGTCCGTTCGTTCATTTCGTCCGTCTGCCCGTCCTTTGGTTAGTCTATTCGGTCGTTGGTTCACCCATTCGTTGTTCCGTCCGTCCGTTCGTTCCTTCTTTCTTTCGTTCGTTCATTCGCCCGTCCGTCTCTCTGTCCGTTCGTTCGTCTGCCCTCTATTAGTCCGCCCGTTCGTTCGTTCATTGTAAGTCCATCCGTCCGTCTGCCCGTCCCTTGTTGCGTCTATTCGGTCGTTGGTTCACCGATTAGATATTCCGCCCGTTCGTTTGTCCGTTCATTCATTCGTCTGTCCGTTCGTTCGTTTGTTCGTCCATCGGTCTCTTTGTCCGTCTTTGCGCCTGTCCGTTTGTTCGTTTGTCCGTTCGTCTGCCTGAGCGCCGTCCGTCCGTTTGTATGTCTATTCGTTCGTTAGACCGTCTGTTCGCTTGTTCATCCGTCCGGCATCCGTTTGTCCGTTCGTTCTTCGATTGTTCCGACCGTACATTTGTATGTTTATTTGTCTGTTAGACCCTTCCTCCTTCCGTCCGTCCTTTCGTTTGTCATCCACCTGTTAAAAAATCCCTTGAAAAGTTAAAGTCCTTCCTCTTCACCATTGAGGACAAGTGAGATGTCGTTCGGCAATCTTCTCGGCCTTACTTTAGTAAATACAAAATTACTTTTAAAACTTTGTGAAGCGTTGGAAACGCCACATTAAGTTGTTTTGTGATTATGATAATCATTTTTGAGATTGGTATAGGAAATAATTATATCCATAGACTCCTCGCCACGCTTTGTCCCATTAAGTCACACCTGAACTTACCATGCCTAGCACGGTCCCACACCAGTTTTGGACCGCTCCATCCTGATCAATCACAATCTCTACGAACATCGTTGGTACGAGCAGCTTGTATTTGATGCATTGCATTGCACTGCATTTCAGCCAACTTCTAGCAACAAAAATTAAATTGCATTATCACTGCACATTGAGAGACGACTGTCAGTGGTATGATAAGTTCGTAGAAATACTTATGTCTCAAAAATACTTAAATTCGGTTCAGACGTATTGAAGCAGTCATAAATGGATACATTATTTTCAATTATTTACCTAAAAATGAGTTGAAAAATGGAGGCCTAAATAATATACGACAAAATATTCGACATTTCACTGAAATTGCTATCGAAATGGTTTTGCAATTCCTTAGGTTTTCCCGAACATGCCGATGGGCATAGAGACAGATAATATTGTAAAACCATTTGTGTGAAGTTTTATACGACATAAAATAAACATACGGGTTTATAAGGAGACACTTATTTTGAAATATCAGATACACGCATCACTGTTGTTATTATAAATTAATAGAAACTGACAGACAATATGCATAAACTACTTTCCAAATAGAATACTTCTGAAAGAATAATGCTGTTTGTCTCGTAATAAGAAACATTAATTAATTCGCCAAATAAGTTCACCAAATATTCTCACGTCTCCTCTCTCCTGTCTGTTTATATACTTTATTCATCTTATGAATAGCTATTTTTAAGCATGCAGTTTTTAGTTGGGAACAAAATATAACTACTCCCATAATCCAAGCTATAAACAATGTATAAGTTCAATATTTGTATTCAGCCACAAAACAAATAACAATTTTATCTATATTTATATTTAATAGTATTATATTACAATACGTGAATTACTGATGCTACAACATAATATTTGTATCAGATTAAGTTATTGTAATTGTAAATAGAAGCCAATACAGTTACTACTAATCTCTCTTCGTGAAGCTACGTGTAGCACACAACTTCCCATTTCTAACGTATTCTAAAACCCCCTTTTTCTCATTAGAAATGGCTTTTCATATTTCTCACACCAATGAAGTACATTAGCAAATTAACAATACAGAATTGACT